CTACGAAAAGGCGTCCATCAAGAGCTGAGAAATCCAACCGATTTTTCCGCAGATAAGCTGTTCCGAGCTTCATCTGCTAGCCTAGCGTATGCAGAAGCATATGTGGGACATCATTGTTCTATTTAGTAATTTATTCAAACAAAGCAAGGAGCGTCATCCAGTCGTGACAAAAATTATTGAGCAGATCTTTCTAAATTGATTTCAAAGGATATAAATGAAAACGTAAACAACGAAAAGAAAATATTAATGAGAAGAATTGAGATTGCATCCGGGGCTGCTGAGAGATACAATAAGGAAGACCTTGTAACAGTACGGGAAAATGTTTTTTCCTTTGGGCAGGTAAAAATTGAGCTTCCAGGAAGACTAGGGATCTTGGCCCAGAATGCGACGAGAACGCGGTGCTCACAGCCTAATCCATCACGCACCGACTCTTTCAGGGCCACAATAGCCAAGAGGGTTCTCCCTTTGGTTATGGACGTTTGGAGTGTATTACCAGATCGCACTTGGGGACCTTGAAGCTAAATAAAATGAAATCCAGTGAAAGCTAAGCGAACGATAGCGACGCTTAGAGAACGCGGATGTGCACGGAAAATTCCAGCCTCACAGTCATCGATTTCAATTTGAAGCGGGAGTCCACCTTTTTGCCAAATTGCTGCTGGTGCAATTCAAAATGTGGCGATATTGAAATGAGGCGGAGAATAATGGGAAACTGAGTGTCGCCTTCTGAATTCCCTAGAAGCGGCACTACCTTTTTTACTGAACATTTCGAGCGATAATGGTAAGATACCAGAAAAAATTGTGTCATATGACATTGCATATCTTACTTTTTGCCCTTGCTCCATGTCATACAATCTCTTTTCAAATGCGGCTGTAAAGAGACCATTGTCTGAAGCGTGAGATGACTGTAATGAATGGTGCGCAACTTTTGCCAGAACATTCGGACATAAGGTGGTTGTAGCCAGTATTTACCACGCGCGCGGTGCGGGGATCGAATCCTGGGAAGGCAATCATGCCTTCCGTCCGCCGGGGTAGGGTAATTGGTTCCAGATCTGTTCGAAAAGATAAATAACACTGATTTGTTCATTAGCTTGGAACCCGTAAGTCATTATAAGGCCAAATTGCACTCCAAGAAATGTAGAAATGGATGTTTTAATAATGCGATATTAGTAAATAATAATTAACATAATATTAATAATATAATAGAATGCGTGGAGCATCCCAAAAAGGGAGTGATGAATAAATAATTTAAATAAATAATTTATCCTTTAGCCTTCTATCTGAAAAGTACTATCGCCTCCTGACCAGTCGACCAATTTGTGCACTCAGGGACCGAAAAAGGCATTAGTTTAGGGAAGAGAGGTACCACTAAATCAAAACAGTTTAGCCCTGCCAGCCCATTATGTAGCGCAAATGTGCACTCGAGTGCCTCAGCAATTTCGTATCTAACGAAGGGGTCTTTCAGTGTGTGAAGCACTTTTTCAAATGTTTTGTGCAATTTGAATAGGGTTCTTATGAGTTGAAATACGAGACCGAGAATCCATTTTCACTGAGGGTCCAGAAAATGGTTAAACAAATTGCGTCTGGCGTTTTCGATTCCCCGAATAACGATAGCCAAAACATTATTTATATTAAATAATATCAAAGAGTAACAAAAAAGCCTTTCTAAAATTTCTTCAAAGCGGCAGCGTCAATAGAGATGGTTGATCATTTGCTAAGAGCGTATACTCTTTGCTAGAATCCCTACACAGCACTCCATCGCTGTAAATTCGCCTACTTTTCTGATGAATTTTTGGACTTGGATAGCTGAGCAAAAATGGGCCTCAGTTTTGTAATAGCCCCTGCAAGGAACCGTTTTGAATAACCACTCCACATCCTGAAAGGCTTCCCTTGTGAGTCCGTGCATGGCACATCTTTGAAGATAATTGGCATCGGACACTCCAACCAGTTCCACACGACGAGAATTCCGATTTGGTGAAGCCTCGAAGGGGCAGGCGGTTTCCACTTACCAGGAAGGTCTTTCAGGGCGTGACAAGCTTTTTGAAAACGGTCTTTTGCATGATATAGGGGCAGATGCGGGAACCACAGAACCATGTTCAATTTTTCCTGAACGGCCCTCTGAATACCAGAAAAGGAGGTCCCTAGTTCGATTCCTCGTGGTAACAAATTTTTGCATTTCGAGTTGACGTGCCAAAATTCGCGCAAAATGGAGTTAGAACCAACCAGAACAATCAGAACTCCATTTTGCGCGAATTTTGGAACGTCAACTCGAAATGCAAAAATTTGTCACCAAGAGGAATCGAACTAGGGACCCCCTTTTCTGGTATTCAGAGGGCCGTTCAGGAAAAATTAAACATGGTTCTGTGGTTCCCGCATCTGCCCCTATATCATGCAAAAGACCGTTTTCAAAAAGCTTGTCACGCCCTGAAAGACCTTCCTGGTAAGGCAGGACAGTGCGCGTTTCCACGGAAACAACGCCCCGGCGGCCTAGCAGGGCCGTACCTTCGCCGCTCGCCCCCTGTATGCCGCCGATAGGTGGACCCTCGCAATAAGACTCTAACCGTTTTACGGACATAGCGTTAGCGTTGAAAAGGGCAGCACTAATGAAAGTTGCATCAATGCGAAATCAGCGAACAGAGAAGGGGTCTCATTTCTATGGGTTCTGGGCCGTTTTCTCGATTTTCCTTCATTCCTGCACCACTGACCACCTCTAGCTTGATTTTCAATGGGCTGCTTTTTCATCGTAAACTCCGTCTCAAATCATTCCTCTAACATCCAGAAAAGTGGATGGTGTTGACATATCATATCACCGTTGATTAGAGCTCCTAGTGAAATTTCTATCGGAAGAATAACAGAACTGAGCAAAACATATAAATCTCATGATGGAATATCCTGCGGGCGGCACTGATGAGGAAACAGGAAAAGAGTCAATATTGCTGAGTCGAGTTAATGCTGTTAGTTTAGCAAACAGAATTCTTCCACTTCGTACATGAGCGATTCAAACCTTAGATAGAATTCCACCTAGGCTAGCAATAACTTTGAAACTGATTGTTTCCATGGGGGAAGCTGGATTTGTTGTACAAAAGAGAGTGAGTGTGAGTGAGCCAAAAGGATCCGTTGTAATACAATGCATGGTGAAATCCACGGCAAGACCTTCGTGCTTGGTATGCTTGCGGGAGATAAGAAGTACTATTAACTACGGAGCCGTTTTCGAAAACGTTTCTGGTCTTTCCACAGATGTTGGGCCTGGAAGTCGGACTCTGTTAGAGAAAGAGCTTTGTTCTCCTTTGTATAACATCTCTCTCAACATCGTTTTTGATGTCCAGGTTACCTGATGCAAATGTGGATAGACACTCTTCCACTTATTGAGATCATCCCCACCATTATGTACATTCGATGG